TATTTGAAGTATACATAACACGTTTTGTTAGTTTTTCGATTTTTACAGACAGGAAAATCAAAATTTCCGCTTTTACCCACGATAAATATACAAATTAAAGGTTATGATTATCCTGTGCTCGAACGTTATCAGTCTTTCATACACAAATTAGCGGATGTCGTACAGATCGACATAGACAATGGGTAAATTTGCATTAAATTTTCTTAATTTTACTCTTCAATTTTTAATACAATCCACATTCTTCTGTTCAGCTGGCCATTACCACCTCAAGAATTCAAGATTCAGAAGTATAAAACTGGAACGACAACAATTGTATCTGAGTATTATCTCAAAATTTATGAAAGAAATATACAAATGTCAGAAGTATCATCTATAAAATGCTCAGTATTAATCAGAGCATTGGAGGCAGCTTTACCACAAGGTGTTACTTTAAATATAAACATTTATGACCCCGCACTAGAAGAGAAGCGATATGTACCAGACAAAGAATTGATTGATTTGAAATTATCACTAGATACATTAAAGAATAAAACTTAAATATATGTTGTTGCGATTAATATATTATTTGTAAGTGCAAATAATACTTGTACATATTGTTACAAAAATAGCATCTCTTTCCAAGCATGTAAATTTTTTAAGTAGTAAAAATTTGAGAAAATTATACACAAGATTTTAATGAAGAAAAGTTCTTATTAACTTTTCCATGAGAAAGTTATACAGTATATACAAAAAATTTATAAAAATAGTTCAATAAACTACTTCGCAATATTCTTATCACCAATCTTAATTCTAAATTAAAATTAGATTAAACTTGGAGGAGTCCAGGTTCCTTCTAATTATTCTTTTATTATAAATAATGTCGGACCTATTTTTTGTTTATTATTCTTCTGGCGCTATCTCCCTGTTTACGCTTGCGCATGATACATATATAATCCATATTTCTTTTAAGATATTTGTTTACAATAAACCAAAATGAACAACTTTAATCTTTGTACTGTCATCAGTCTTCTGAGGTTCTTTTATTTTTTCATCAGCATTATCTTCTGCAAAACGTCAAAAATTAATATTAGACAAAGTCGTGTTATTCACAATTGTGTTGTAAAGCTTCTTACATATACAAAACAGATGTACTAATGTAAAATGCTTACTACACAATGGTTGAAAATCTTTAAGGTAATCTTCATTACCCAGACAAAGTGGAAGACTTTCAGCTAATTCACGTTTAGGATCCGTTATACGTGTTTGTGTAGTAGATCGTTTCTGTTTGTATACTTGAGTCTGTAAGAAAAATTTTATATGTATATATATATATTTCATATATCTATATATATACACACGCACATATATCTTTAAAACTACTTACCGTGCCAGGCACTAGTATATGAGTGACAGTATCTGAAAATTTCACCTTTGGCTTTTCGTTAGAAAGAGAACTTGATATATCGGCAAACGATGGACACGTAGAGCAAATCTTTGAATTAGCTATAGACGTATTAATTACAGGCAGAGGTGGTACATTAGAAAACATTTTAGTTTCTCTATTAACGATTTGAGAAGATCTCGATAAATGTCTATTCTCAAATAATCCATGTTGTATACTGTAACTAGGATGAAAGTTTCGCGAGGAAAATTTGCTAACTGTTTGTGAAAGTTGTAAGTCTGTATCGTCGCGAGAACCCTGAAACGGTATGTAATCTAGATCGTAATTGTATCTATATGTTTTAAAAGATAGAGATGTTTTCTGATTTTCAGGTACATTAGGTGTTGTGGAATTCTGTTTTTGTAAAATGCACAACGGTATATGGGTTTTATTTGATGTAAATTTCTCCAATTCTTTAATATTTGGCAAACCTTGAGTGCTCCTAGATAAAAGATAATTTTTTCTAGGTAAATCATGAAGGCAATTAGAGAAAGAACTTATCAGAGAAGGTGGTGATGGAATAGTGATGTTTGTTTCTTTTTCTTCCATTACAGGATGTTGTAATTTAATAGCTTGATCATTGACATTGTTAAATGTGTTGGGAAATGTAATGTCGTTACTTTCAAGAGTTGTATATCCTTCAAGATTATTAAACGAAGTAGACATCAGATTGTTACAAGCATTATTCGAAAGAGGCAATTGATCTGTTGTATGAGTGTTATCGATAAGAGTTTTAGTTAATGATTTATCAGATATCTTTGAAGATTTCATGCCTCGTAACATAAAAGTTGTTTCAGAGTTATTGTTCGCTGTTAGTGCATTGACAGAGTTACTATGCGAGATAGGAGTGTTAGCGATTCGAGTACCGAATGACGTTGACATAACATTATTGTCAATGACGTTTAAGCAACTCGTCAAATAATTATTAGAATGAATGTCTTCCGATTCATATATTGGCTTATTGAAAGGAGTAGAGATAAAGCTATCGTCTTGCGCGCAAGTCGTTATTACGTTAGTAGTGGAACTACTAAAAGAATATGATATTTCATTAAGTAACGATTGCTCGTACGATCTCTCGTCAAAATTATTGCTAGACTGATCATTCACTATTGCGTCTGATTCATTGAAAGAAATACTGCCGAATGACGTAGTCATCAAGTCGTCTGATGTATTGTTAAATACTTGAGAACTATTAATGACATTTGCCGCGCTAATCGGTGTAAAATTTGAGTGTGTACTGTATAATGATTTATTAAAAGAAGTTGATGATAAAAATGGACTCGAAATGTGCGAAGAATGATTAAACGAAGTTGTTAAAACGTTATTAGAAGTGTCAAAGGACGAAGGTATTAAGATGTAGTCAGTCTTAATAGTGGACGGAATATTATTATATGAGGCGCAAAGAGTGTTCTTTGTGGTATGATGAGGATGGACAACTGGTAAGGGTGGGATTTGATTTGAACTGGAAGCTTTTCTGTAACGATACTTTCGCGATCGCTTTAGATTAAGTCGTTTCTCTTTTTGAGAATCTTCACTCTCTTCACTATATGTTGCTTCTATCTGCTCTTCCTCTTCCTCCTGCTGCTCCTGCTCCTCCTCCTTCTCCTCTTCTTCCTCTTCCTCCTCTTGCTCCTCATTCTCTTCCTCCTTCTCCTCCTCTTCCTCTTCCTCCTCCTCTTCTTCCTCCTCTACTTCCACGTTCTTCTCCTCTTCCTCCTCTTCCTTCTCATTGCTTGAATCGGAACATATAGAACATGATGTTCTTGAACATGTGGAATCTATAAAAATTTATTTATTTAAATAGATACAAGGTGTATTAAAATCTTTAGAAGTCCTTCTCCAAAGATTTGTCAATTCTTACGTGAACCACTGCAACTGTTCGATCTGCTTAGAATACTCTCAGCTTTCTCTTTGGCTGCAGTTGCCAGTTCCATGTCATTTAAAACTGTAGCGTAGAAATGTATGTCCATAAAAAGATCGTGATCATTTAGATCAATAGCTAGTCGAAAAGCCTTCTCAAACATCTTATACCTACAAAGATCATAATGATTAGAGTAAATTAAATTTTAAATTTACATCAGATAATGTTCTACCTTAATAAATGATGAAAAAATCTCCTCGTCAAATCTCTTACTTCGTCCCCATATTCTTCTTCGACAGTTTGGCTTATTGGTTTAATAGGTATGTGGAAACTGCCTAACGCATTCTGTATCAGACCTATTGGATCAGATTAATAAATTAGAATAAGATTATTTTTTAAAATCATTACTAAGTAATCTCTTAATTAAATATCAGATTAAAAAAACAAAATTTTAATTTACCTTCGCGTTCCGTTGTTAACGGTAACTTAAATAAATAGTTTAAGATTTGATTAAGCGAATGCATGCAAATACGTGGATGCGTATCCCAATTCATCGATAACAGCAAGGAAGTCGCTTGTTCTGCTCGAGACTCTGACAAATACCTTCTGACTAATTTATCCCCGGAGAGAGTATCGCCTTCAATCATTTTAATAACTCCAATCGGTCCTCTGAAAATACAGAATAAATTGTCACGTACCAATCGATATCGAACATGTTGCTTGATAAAAGAAAAGGTAATCCTTACCGTTCGAAAAGTAATAAGAATAAAGAATTGCCATTGTTGTAATAATGTATCTGATTTGAATCACTTTTCCTGTTCCATTCCATATGCAGCAAAGCATGCTGATTCCTGTGTTGTGTATTATTATTTTATTAATCCAATTTATGGCCATGTCTTATCGACTAATTATTTCATTGTTCGTACTTAAAATATGATGATAAGTCGAGAATATTTGCTGGCATTGCCTCGTCACTTAATGTTTGGCTTTTGATACATATTAAAGTAATATCAAAATACTGAAACTGGCCTCTATCATTACCTACCACAAATATTATACCATCGCTGTGCCAAGCGGCTAAAGTAGGTATCTTAAGGAAAAGAAATGAAGAAAATCACATATAAATCCTTTCAAAATGCATCTTTCCATAATACTTATATATCGTTATACATATATAAAAAGTTATTGTATATTTATATATTACTAAAACTTACAAAAGCTGCTTTTACACTGATGCTTGTCGATTTGATCTGATCGTACATCATAATGGTACCATCAATGCAACATAAAAGTAATAGGTCCTGATTAGGTGAAAATCTCACACAACTTGTATGCGTTGGCAATGGTACGGAAATCACAGCAATCCTTTTTAATTTATTTTGCCGAGAGACTTCATATGTACGCCATTCTACAGTAACTTCTCCCTATATATTACGATATCCAAATTTACAAACATAACTTATTTCTTCCTTTTGATACAAAATTTAATTAATATATGAAACCATATTTAATATATTAAATAAATTTGCATTAAATACAGAAGTATAAGATGTAATTACCTTCCGTGAAACTTTTTGTTCTACAGAATGAATAATATTGTCATCGTATGCATCAAATGTAATACACAAGGGATCAAATTCAGTACGTATGTAACATAACAATTCTAATTTTGTTCTGAAAATATAAATGATCAAATCCTTTCATTTTTATGTACATACAGGAATGTCAGGGACTGTACAAGTGTTTGTAATTGATTTACATAGCAACGAGCATAGTAACACGTAACTAACCATGCTTGATAGAAAGAATTGTAGTAGCAAACACAAGTACAATTAAAATTCATACGTATTAAAATTATAAAATCACGAGAATTATATGAAAATGTCTCAGCATTGGCATGGCCATTGGACAGAAGATGCATTTGCTCCAAAAAGATTACGAAATTGGGAAGTTCCTAAATGGTATCCTAGTTGGCCAGACAGACATTGTGTCACTACGAAATTTATTGTGGATAATAATGGACGTATATTAAACAATGCCAAAAGAGTTGGACAATCGCCATGGGGAACATTTAAAGTTTGTATAAATTAATGTTACGTTAACACAGGTTGTCTAAAAAGAAACCAAACTTTTGTTCTAGAAATAGTACTAGTCGTACCATTAAGTTATAACAGGCAAAATTCAATATTTTGAACATTATATTATTGATCATGCACAATAGCATTTGTTCTCTTAAGTCTCATGGAAGTTCTGCATAAAAGTAAAGGAAACTTTTACCGAAACATTTAAGTGACTAAAACAAAAAACTCAAATATCTCGGTAAAAGTTTTCTTTAGTTTCATGCCAAACTTAATGTAAGTTTGGTTTCTTAGTTTCTTTTTAGACAACCTGTACGTAGTATAAAAGTTTAAGAATCTAAATTATTTTAAATTAAATCAATATTATCACAAGTTTCTCTCTCAAAATTTATACAATATTCAAAAATTATAATACAAAAATATCATATTGTAAAAAAAAGGGCACATGGGATTTGCCAAAGAAAATTACTGCAAGCATTGCTAAAGAATTATCAATATCGCCTCAATATAAAAAAGATTTATGGGAACAGCACAAGAAGAAACATGAGAATTTATGCAAAAGGGTAAAACACGTAAACAAGAACGGGAATAAAGAAATCAACAAACTATAAAAAGATAAGTTAAAACGAACAAAAATACATATATACATGCAAAGAATGTCACATAAAAGAAGTCACATAGTTGTGTTGATCTCATACCCTGTGAGCTGAAAGAGATGCATGTTTGCTCGATGATATTGTTTCATAGCAGGACTCCAAGGATAAACTTCGTTCATTGTAGATTTTCGCCAAATTAATATCTGTAAAGACAAATTATTTCTTATAGATTAACTATAATATTTTCTACTTGGTTTTAAAAAAAAAAACTGTCTAGAAGCAATTTACCAAATTAGCAGACTTGTTTACTTCAATCTTCTTATCCAATCTGCGTCCATTAGGTTTAAATAAGTCAGTTGTGATTAATTTAGGTTCTAACTTACTTATCTTATCAAAAATGTGCGTTTTAGATTTTGTAAAATATACCAGAGTCACTAGATTATCATTGTATGTACAAACCAAATGACTTTTGGTAATAATTACTGTAAATAAAGCAAAATATTATCTTTTGTGCATAATATAAATAGTTTCTGGTGAAAAATAATAGGCAATTACCATCAGATATATGTTCAGATAACTTTCCTACAAGATATTTGTCGAAATTGATTTCTAGTACATCACCACTGAAGAGACAAACTTGTATTTGTACCAATAAGCCATTGCTAAGCATTAATTGTGTAACAGAATCATCATACCATTGAGAATAAATTACAGAATTATCTCTGAGCTGACCCTAGGTATGATAATAGCAATTCTATATAATATATGCTCTTTACATAATTCGATCAGGAAAGATAAAATAATGATTTATTATACCTCTAAGTATTTAATAGAATGTTTTAATTTATTTCCCTTTTTGTTTTCTGGGATGTAAGTCATTCCACGCTCTTGACAATATGATCTTTTGCCTTCTTCATACGTGCCATCAATACGTTTATCGTGATATCTAAAAAAAAAATCAAGAGCAAATAAATTGCTGTAATAGCAATAGGAATCTGAAAATGAATTATATGATGTTGTTTTTACTTAAATGCACCAAAATCGGTGACCTCTATGTTTACATTGTCATCAAAAGTCCAAAAGTTTACTTCTCCCGTTAACGCAAACATTATAAAATGTACTAATATTAAATGTACAAAATATCATGGAGAATATCACGCAAAGCACTCAAATTTGTATGCAAATAATAACAATTACGAAAAGTCACATTCGCACGACTCCAAGAAAATTCACAGTCTATCTACTTCTATCTATAATCGGCATCATTAATGTCCTTCACTTCCGGTTTAAGGCCGGAACACAGATCTTGATTATCATTGGACGCATTCAGCGTAAATGGGTGCATTCAGTACTACGATCGCTCACTGAGCACTCAGTGAGCTCTTGTATCTGTTTGGTCTATATTTTTAGATCTAACGGAATATGCCAATCAGAACCAAGAGCTCACTGAGCGCTCGGTGAGCGGGTGTACTAAATGCACCTAATGGCTGTGTTCAGCGAACTCAACAGTTGAGTGAGCGCTCGCTGTTATTGATGTATTCTTTTAGATCACTCAATCAGCATTTTAGATTTGAAAGAATACATCGATAGCAACGAGCGCTCACTCAACTGTTAAGTCCGCTGAACGCAGCCATTAATTGAGGGAATGCTCGCTGTTATCGGTGTATTCTTTTAGCTCTTCCAATCAGAATTTTAAATCTAAAAGAATATAGGTGCCGTCACATGCGGCGTAACCTGCGGAAGCGTAACCTGCGTATTCTAGTAATTTACTAGAATACGTTATTTTTTATTTACTAGAATACACCATTCTGAAAGCCCGCATTCACATTGAGCGTATATCGCGGAAGATTAGAGAAATGCGGAACTAATGCAACCAATTGCTGATTAGAATTTCTGTACACTCTAACAGAAATGCTAAATGAATTTACGATTGGTTTTCGTAACCTACGCATCTCGAAAAGTACGCCTCGTGGGGAACCGGTACCTTTCCATCGCGTATATATGAGCGGATGATCGAATAAATTATTAAAATCGGAAAATTTTGTGAAACCACTCTTAGGCTTATTCGACGCGTTTTTGCATGAAACAAAAGAATCTAGCAAAAAAACGTCGTTCTGCCTTGTAATCTGAGATATTAAGTGTTAAAGTTGATGACTATTGAGGTTAGGAAATCTGTTGCAGAGGCAAAATGAGGTCTATAATTGTATTGTTCCACATGGGTTTCGACTTTTCACGCGACGCAAAGGGGCGCACGACTTTTATAATTGTACTGTTGCAAAATCGAAATCCTTGTGCATTTTTTCAGACAGAATAGAAATGATATGATTGGTCGGCGCAAGTTACGCTTATGCAAGTTACGCTGCATGTGACGGCACCGTCGGCACCCTCAATTGTTGCGGAGCGGATCCGTGAGCGCTCGCTGCTATTGGTGTATTCTTTCAGATCAACCAATCAACATTCCAACGATACGAAGCAAAATCCATCGGAATCCTGTTTTTTGATTGGTTGCAGAGCGTCGAACGACGCACATCAGGGCTGCGTTCAGAAACATCACCCGAGTACCCCCGCGTATCGTATTATCTTTGTTGTTCACTCAGGCCGTGGTCCGAATCATGCTGACAACGCTCATGAGCATTGTTTGTCTTCGTTTAACATTTGACAAACAACAAGGATGAAATGATTTTTAAGCGTTGTGAGCATGTATCGGACCGCGGCCTCAGTATTAAACAAGGATAAGATAATATACGGAGACACCCGGATGATATTTTTGAACGCAGCCCAGATGCAGTGTGAATCTAGCAACAGACTAGTAAAAGAATCCATTCAAAGTGAACGAAATATCTCTGAACAGTACAGTTGAGTACAGTTTCGTTCATTTTTTCGTGGCATTTCGGTCAGTAAAAGGATCCGTTCAAAGTGAACGGAACGTTCATGAATGACACATCTCTAGTGGCAATACTGGCATACTGCCCTAACTGCTCGCATCGCATCGCAACTCGCAACTCGCAAGGCTTCAAGGTACTGACAAGACCTCGAATATAACCTCAAATTAAGAATTTATACAAAAATCGAAGTGAGGTCTCTGCTCCCCGAGGAGGCTACTCATTGGATTGAAAGATCCGTTATTTCTGCATGGTACTGTGACTCTATGCTTGAGTCGGAAAACCAATCAAGGGGAAGCCAGAAGAAGAACTCGCAAGGCGTTTATGCGTGTGGGAGTTATAAAAGAAAGAAGTGTATTTTTCTGTATTTTGTTATTGCAAGTGAAAATATTAACTTACTGTGTGCGATGACAGAAGATATATCTAAATGAAAAAAACTTATGAGATTATATAAATTATAAGAAAATAGCTGAAGAAAGTAAAAAAATGGCTGAAGAAAGTAAAAAAATTTCTTTTGGTTTTGCAAAATCTGTAAAAAAGACAATTTTGGGCAAACAAAAGTTACACCAGGAGAAAAAAGTGGATTATATCGAATGTCTAGACGATAAGGCGATTAAAGTAATCGGGTAAGTTGAGAAAAAATTGTTCATTGCAACAAAATGATAGGCGTCTTTAACCTCGATCTTTATCTAACCTTAATTATTAGTCTTTAATACTTGAAATGGCAACTGTAATGTTTGCTTTTATTTATTCTAATTTTTTATGTTGTAGCATTTATTTTCATAATTAGACAGTTATTATACAAATATATTTGTTTAGGAAGGAAGAGAAAAAAGATGAACTTGTCATTATTCCACTACTGGAATCTAATACCTGGCATGACAGAATCATTAACAAAATAGATGCTTCAAAATCAAAAACAAGTAATGATGATATGCAAAAAGTCAAGATCAAAGAAGAGTCGCAACAAATATCTAATGGTGATTTAACATCAATTGATAGAAGCGTTTCTCTCTCTAATATACAAATAAAAACAGATTCATCTATTGAAAGTAAAATTCTTACTTTGGATGAGCAGGCAGTTAAAGAAATTATAGAAGACCTCAATGCAACAGACAAAAATAAAGATGATTTGTGTGATATAACGTTATCTTTAGTTAAGAGACAGAATTTAGAAGGTGCAGAAGAAGTGAGTACTTCTTTATGATTATTAATAACATATAATGTATATTCATATTTTAAGTTGATATATAGAAATAAACTAATATAAAAATATGAGATTATATAAATATACATATTTTTAATTATATAAAATTGAAATAAAAATAAACAAAATGAGCTAAACATAAAATAAACTAGAAATTGTATAAATTCACAAAAAATAGGTATGAAGAATCGCCTTATATAAATATAGCATGTCACACTCATGTGTATTTAATCTCATCGATCAATTTTCACATAATATTATACAAAAATATTTTATGTATTTTCTTTTCTATATAGAGTACATTAGAAGATTACGAAAAGATTCCGCTAAATGTCTTTGGTTCAGCTATGTTACGAGGTATGGGGTGGAAACCTGGTGAAGGAATTGGTAAAAATCCAAAGTAAGAACTTTTTTTTTAGATTGAGCATGAGTGGATGTTGCGTTTCTTTATTTCAGCATATATTTTCAGATATAGGTTGTACTCGTTTTTTTTTTCTATATTTTTATAGTTTTTATTTTTACATTTTATATGTTATGTACTTGGCAGGCTTGTAATACCCATCGTGCCTGAATTAAGGCCCATAGGGATGGGACTTGGTGCAGACAAAAAAGCATTGCAAAAACAGGATGGAAAGACTCAAAAAGAGGAGGAAGAGTTACGGATACAAAAAGGAAGTTTTATAAAAATCATTGCTGGCAAGCGGTCCAATGCATATGGTCAAATAGAAGGCTTTGATGATGCAGGGAGATTAATCGTTAAGATGGCACTAAATGGAAATACCATTTCTGTGAATGAATGCATAGTTCAAGTAGTAACAAAGCCGGAATACTCGAAAAATTCTAAAGTTCTAAGTTAGTAAATAAAGCAAGTTATCTCTTAAGGAACTTTTAAAATATCTGTAAAAGTACAAATTTTCGTAATAATATGAAATTTTACAATTTTTGTATTTGTAAACAGGTTACTAAAGTTTAAATTAATGATTGATTACAATTTGGAGTTGTAAGATTTTAAGGATTTTAATTTCTCAGTGTATAGCTGGAACCTGTTATACATATAAGAAGATATCGATACTTAATTAATATTTAATTGTATATTTGACACTTTTTAAAAGTTCCTGCTATTTATAATTCACTCACTTGTATGAAATTATTGCAGTTTTAGTCTTTAGTATTCGACGAAATTAATTTCAGATGCTGCTAAATATGAAGAACATAAGAAAAAGGAAGGTGTAAATAAACGAAAATCTGCATCATTGGAAAATTTAAGCGACAATGATAACAGCGATTCAGATATACCTGATAGGAAAAGAAAGCACAAAGAAAACGATCGTGAATACAAATCGAAGAAATCAAGTAAAAAATCAGAAATCCATCGAAGAGATTTATCCGATAGCGAGAATAGTAGTGATACACATAGCAATAGAAAGAAAAGAAATAAAACTCGAAAGCGCTCCAGTAGTAGCGATAGGACTAAAAGGGTAAAGAAATCCAAGAAACACAAAGGAAGAGATAAGGAACGACTAAAGGATAAGATATCAGGATCTTTTGAATCTATCGATAGAAGAAAATCCAAAAAACATAGGAGGTCTCGATCATCTAGTAGACGATAACATGTGTACATAATGTTGTATAAAAATCGCAACATATAACTTATAAATATTTTAAGTTCTCTACTGACTTGTACAATTTTGTTTGTATTTCTTTTTTTTAAATAAAACTTATTTTTTCATGTGATTTAATCTTGTTCAGATAAATTTCTAATTGTACTTTTTTTTTACACATTCTTTAATTTAATTTAATGTTACATTGAAGAGGCTCGAGTAGATGTTTATTAGCAAAAAAGTTAGGCCTATGTAACATTAAAACAGTTAATAAATATCAAGTTTAATAAAATTCTACGTCAACTTTGTAAACATAAAGAATAAATTAGATAGAATACAGAAAAAAGAAAGTTGATTTTAAATTTAAAAGATTTACATTTAATGGAAAAAAAATAAAGGTTACGTTTACACGAATATTCCTATTCGGATTTAATAACATCCATAGTTATAAAACTGACCAGTCATAGCTATCCTTTGAAAAATGGAATGGCTCTAATTGACCAGTTTCTCAACTACGGATTATTATTAAACTCAATTAAGAGTATCCGTGTAAATGTAGTCAATAAAGATTGAGAAAAAAATTTACGTGTAAAGTATAAATTGAAGTGATTTGTATAATTTAACGGATATTGACAATTCAAATTAAAAAATTTGGGATCGATTATGGACTCCTCAATTTAACGGATATTTACAAGTAACAAATCCTATCCTCATTACATTAATAATATGGTTTATAAGTTTACATCGTGCACTTTTAATACGCGTACTAACTAGTAACTTTTTATTAAATTATCTTAATATCGACGATGCGTGTAAACGTATACACGATATGGCTATTTCATTAATCATTTAAATTCTAGATGCATATTGTACGAGCTTTTAAATGTATTATCGAAATTAAGATAATTTAGTAGAAAATTACTAGGTATCAGTTAGTAGGCGTACATTAAACGCTCGGTGTAAAAGGGATCAATTACTCATCACAATGTAATCTTCTCAAATACCGTGAAATTACATTAAATCCGTTTTTTCCCTCACTCCCCCCTCTCCCTCTTTTCTTATTTACCGCGTCACATACATATAAAAATAAATTTAATGAAATGTATATAAGGAAAGATCTTGTTTTTTTTTATTAGATAGATAATACTTGCGGTTTTTTCCTTACGTCATCGAAATAAACAGAAGGAAACTTAACCTATTATGTTACGGGCAAGTGTCGCGCTGTGCCGAATAAGAATAAGAACAATGACTAGTACGTGTGTGATTATTCTCTCTTTACGGCATGCGAAATTTGAAATCGTGCATTTAACATAAAAAAAATATAAGAAATCAGAAAACGCGCAAAATTCTTTTGCTATATATTGTTACCAAGTAGTCTTTGAAATGAGCAAGAAGTTCGAGCGATCTCAGCGATCGTGTTCACTTTATTCACTGTCCCTGGTGTAGTATGTATAGTAATATTCTGTAAAGGAGCGCATATTACGCTGTTATCCTTGTTTAACAGTCGATGAATAAGAATTAGGCTAGTCATGCGAAGAATACATGATGCGCATCATGCGTTTTACGGAACGTATATGTATATACATATCAATACATATAATACTGATCCGAACTCCGATTGATATTTTAAATCAAATGGCACTGCAATGCGATAATATATCTTATGGCAGGCTCGAAAAATGTTGACGATATGTAACAGTGTCTCGATTAACTCGATCTAGCCTTGTTTATTAAACTTTCAGCCTTGCGTCTGGCGTTGGTGCAGCTGTTCGTTGGTGATGACAAGGCAACAAACGTCTCGCGAGCCGTTTCTTTCATCGAGCGCGCGAAACAAGAGCGAGCCGACATCGTGACACTGCCTGAGTGTTTCAACTCGCCATATGGAACATGTAAATGAAAGGAGCACGATACCTTTTTTAAATTACTTGCATAAATGTTTTTTTTTTAATTACGGTGTTATCATAAATAATGAATATCTCGAGTAAACGTTGTTAGGTTCACGAAAAAAAGCTAGGTTTTTAAAATTAAAATTTAGAACAAAACTCTGATTGGCTACTACACAAGTATGCATCTGCATGCGAGAAATACAAAAAATCAAAAATATAACAAGAGGAAAAGATCATGTTACTTTTAACATAGATGTTTTTATATATATATATAACAATAAGTATTCAATGCATATCTTGCAAATATCTGCGAATTATCAAGTCTATTATTTAATATACATCTTAAATTAATAATATAGATAATATATATAAATCTATATACAATATTTTTATACATATGACGTGCGAGATATTTTTTATACTTCTACTTACAAAATTTCTCTGTGTCAGAAGTAGAAAAGTACGAAAGAAAAGTATGAAAATAAAATCGATCTATACAGGGTGGGGAAAAAG